TTCAAGTACCTGGAGGGAGGGTCTTGGGTCCTCTTGGGATGGAGCCAGGCTCTGCTTGGTGGTGCCAAGCAATAGGGCAAGCAGCAATGGGCAGAAATTGATGCACAGGAACTTCCACCTGGACATGACAAAGAACTTATTTATTGTGATGGTGACACACTGGAGCAGATATTGCCCAGAGAGGTTGTGCAGACTCCTTCACTGGAGATATTCAAGAATTAACTGTCTGGACACAAACCTGGGCAATGTGCTCTAGGATGGTCCTGCTTGAGCAGGGAGGTTGGACCAGACAATCCACTGTGGTCCCTTCCAACTCGATCTGTTCTGTGATTCTCTTGATTATCTTACCTGTTCCAAGTGCAAGGCCATGCTGGTGGCAGGAGTGTCATTATGCATGAGGGATAGTAGAGGTAAATTTGTTGTCTGACCAATTCATGCAGGAACAAATTCTCTAGGTGTGCTGAATTGTAATTCTGGACCTTATCCTAGCAGTTTGCTCTTGGTCTAAACCATCGTTGACTTCTCTGGAAGACTTTTTAGATAAAGCTCTACAGGTCCAGAAAATCCACACGCAATAAAATGTCAAGACCACAAATGATGTCTTCATTTTGACATGAACAGGAGGTCTGTATGTCAGTTCGAGGTGCCTGGTAACAGTTAGGATTGTTTAAAGGTGGAGTTTAAATAAACAGCCAAGTTTTCAGCTGATGCTCCAGGATGCTTGGTGCTCAGCACTCCTGAAAAATATGTCTATCTATTCAGATACAGAAATACAGATGATTTTTTCTCCATTTTTAGAAAGGAAAAAAAAAAGAACCTAACATTACCTATATTATTCTAGAAACTGAAAAAAAAAAGTGGTGGAATTTTTGTTTTCTTTCCCCCCCCCCCCCCTTTGAGCTGCCCTTTTTTTTTTTCCCTAAGATGAAGATTGACTTTCATTCTTTTTTTTCTACACAGGTACATTTATTATTGACTAAGCACCATCATGTGCTCAGTGTGATTAAAAAAAGAAATGTAGGCCTTGCACTCAGGTAGCTCACAAGAGAAAATAAACCCCCTGAGATGTCATGGGGGATAGTACTTGCTTCCACCACCTCTTAAAGGCATAGAAGCATTTTCTTTCCTCTTTCTGTTGTGCTCTGTAGCTATGGATGATGTTTCTCTAGCACAGGGAAAAGAAGAACATTTTACTAAGTTTTACTAGAGCAATATTGGTTTAATACATGTACATGTGTGTTTTTTAGTTCTTGTGATATAAACACATTTTTAAAGGGACATGTTCCAACCCTGTGATTTTCGAAAAACTTGATTAATAGCTCATTTTCCAATATAGAATCATGGAATTTAAGGGTTGGAATGGACCTTACAGATCATCCAGCCCCAACCCCTGCCCTGGGCAGGGACACCTCCTCACTAGATCAGGTTGCTCAAGGCTCATCCAGCTTGGATTGAACACCACCAGGGTTGGGGCATCCACAGCCTCCCTGGGCAACCTGGGACAGTGTCTCACCACCCTTAGAGTAAAAAACTTTTTTCTAATATCTAACCTAAATTTTCCCTCCCTCAATTTGAATCCAGTACCCCTTGTCCTATCACTGCAGTTCCTAACACAGAGTCCCTCTCTGACTCCTTGCAGCCCCTTCAGGTATTGAAAAGTTTCTCTGAGGTCTCCCCAGAATCTTCTCTTCTTGAGATAGCAAAGAATTTTTGTAAGTTAAGACTTTTTCACTTTTCAACATCACTATTTAATACTAAACGTAAAGGCTGAACCAGTGGCATAGTACCATTGGTATCAAACCTGAAGTAGCTGAGTGCCCATTTCCAGGTGTTTGTAGCTGCTGTTACAGAAAATTGAATTCAGCTGCATCCTGGAAATTGCTTTTGAAATGTCTTTACAAACAGAGAAAAAGACTTAATCTAGGAGAATATTCTTCTCGTGTTCCAAATGCTTATATTTTGAAAACCTCAACACAACAGATATTACATAAAGAATTCTTATTTGACATATTAAAGGCACAACGTTTTAGATTTCATTACTGCTTTCTTGACTGTGTGTCACAATTCTGTAAAGATCAGGTTCTAGTTCTGAATTGGGAACATCTTCACTGGGGTGAATCCTTTGTTTCCCTGCTGAGTTTGGTGGTTTCAGTTTGTTGCCTGCTAAAAAGGTAGGAAGTTCTGCTTAAAAAAATTGCAATAAACAAAAAAACCCAACACTGCAATCTCTGCCAAAAGGAGCCTCTGAGCACAAGCAATGCTTGCACAGACTTCCCATCCAAGCCAGCAAGAGGCCCTGGCCATGCCAAGAGAAGCTGGTAGCACATTGTTGAGAGAGGCTGTGCCTGTTCTTCGATTACCTGAGCTGCCTCCCTTAGCTAAATATTTGTCTTCACATCAGAAGGATGTTTGGGACACAGGAGCTTGACAGTCTGAGTGGCTGTGAGGAAAAGGCACAGAACATCAGGACATAAATGCTTCTCTGGCTTCCCAAGTCAAGATTCCTTTTGGTGCAATGGGTGAAACCTGTGCTGCATCTCCTCCAGAGCTGCAGAGTGTCAGGCAGCACAGACCCAGCACTGCTTCACCCATCAGTGCTCTGGATTAGCCAAGTCACTGTCAGATGTTGTTGTAACCCAGATGATATTTTGGAAGGAAAGAAGAGGAATTTTGCTCCATGTCTTCTTTGCCTTAGGTAAACAACACTGTACATCTGTATTCTTTAACACTCATTTCACAAAGCATGTTTAGTGACTCAGAAAAAAAAATAATGCAGATTTGCAGAAAGAGTTCCTTTTATTACTCAAAATATTTGTCAGCTTTAATATGAACCTACTGAAGTTTTCAAAACTGAAGCCTTAGAGATGCACAGGACACACATAGACATTGTACATATGTGGGACATGCTCCTTGCTACAATTTTCAGTAAATATATTGACTAGAAGTGGATTGTGACTTTTATATTTTTCCCCTGTATGTTGTCACTGACCTATTTAAGTACATTGGCAGCATTTTATATATTTTGTGACTTTATTTCCCACAAATACTGTTTTGTGTTCTTTACATTAAAAAGACACACTATGCAACACTTCAGCTCCATGAGAAATCACTTTATCCTAAGCATTTAAATTATTTCACACTCTCAAAAGGCACAATTAACTATCTAATGAGAACTTCCATTCAACGTTACACATGACACAAAAAAAGAGGAAAAAAAATGTTTGAGACATCAATGATAATATTTTAACTATGTTGGCATAGGAAAGTAGATGTCTTCTTTGCTTTATTAAACTGACAGTTCCGTTCTGAAACTTTATTTTGAAAAGATTTAAAAAGGATTTGTGTCTTCAGAAATAAAAAAAAAATATAACAGGCATATCTAAAAAATATAGAAGAGAAAACCTGATTGTTACTACTAATGAAATAGCTGATGACAAAATAGTAGTCTTTTTGATTCTGATCACAAAAAATAAACTGGTAGTGACAGGATATGATGGATAGATTTGACATCCTGGCAAATCACTGTCATTGATTCAATTATTCTAATTCAGAATAAAAGCTGTATACAGTATGTGTTTATGCTACAGTGGAGTTTTTTAAGTGATTGACATTCATCATATTAGTTAGACAGTTTTAAAAGCTATGTCTTTGTTTTACACAGCGTCGTCAAGGAAGAAAAAAAAAATAAAGTAGAACCTGGATTGCAGGAAAAAACCCAACAAACCACTCCAGCAGCTCTTGGTTCCAAACCCATCAAAATATGTTCACATTATTGCATCCCATTAACGCGTTCGTTGAAGACTCAATTTCACTCCAGCCATGTAATACACTATTTAAAGACTAAATTTTGAAGCTGCAATGCAATCTTACAGCTGGGTGGCTTGGAAGTTCTGCAGAGAAGGAGGCATTACCTCTCAAAATGGAAGGCAGCCTGAGAAGAAAGAACACCAACCACTTGAATTTACAGGTCAGCTCTGCTTTGCTGCTCCTTTGTTTGATGGGAGAGGCACAGAGACACACAGAGAACAGTTAGAAGTTCACAGATTGTGGATCTGAGGGTACAGAAGCCTGAATTCCTTGGATATTCTGCCCTGCTTCAGAGCAGCAGGCTGAGAGATCCTTCCCCAGCTCAAACGTGCTCCTCTGGCTCCCGAGCATTAATGTGCCTGTCGCTTTGAATTTCCATCCTGAGTTCTGCCTGTTGACATCATTTCATAGCACTGACTTCAATTGTTTGGGATTACTGTTTGGAACTACATAAGGAAATCAATTCTTTCCTCTCTGCTCAGTAAATTCCACCTAAGTACGTTTTAATGCTTTGTAGAAAGTCATAAGGCAAAGTGATTAACAGATTTTGCTTCAAAAAAACAACCATTCTTAATTACTGTCATATTAGAACCAACACTATCTTATAGATTTCATATCCATTATTACATGTTTAATAAACTGAAGGTTTCCTGAAGTTTCAAAATGGTACTGCAAAAATGAATGTTTTTAAAGCTGAGTACTTTGTTTTCGGAACAACACGTGACAATTCACTTCTTGGTTTCATTCCTTTATTTCAATAAACCAACTTATTATTCATACAAAATATTAAATGCAAATATATAAAAATTCAATTGGGAAAAAAAATCCCTTTTTTTTTCCTGTTTAAAAAAAATAATCTGGAAATGAAAAGGTAAGAGCAATTTTCATGTTTTAAGGAAAGGAATAAAATACTCTATGTTTTCAGTGGAGCAGAACAATGGTAAGACCCAACATAACCAAAGCTTTAACAAAAAAAGCCAAACCCAAACAAGCCCAAAATTAGCACAAAGAAAGAATGGAAAAAAAAACAAAAACCCACAACACAAGACAAGAAGGAAAAGGAGGCATCAGATGACAACGTGGATTTTTAAAGACTGCTGGGTCAAATCATTAAGAAAAATATTTATATAAGTCATTAACACTCATAATTAGAGTGTCATATAAATCTGAGTGAAACTGCTAAGTAGAAATCACTAGAAGTCCAGGTGCTTCTTGCCGATGGCCATAGCACCACATCCTGAGCTCAGCAGTTTGGCGGATTCTGCCAGATCCTGTTTGCTCGCGCGGCTCACTGTGTCTGACAAGTCTGGAGGCAAATGCAGCCGCTGTGGCAGGAGATTTTCAGGAGGGAGAGGGAGATGGGGAGAGAGAGAGAGAGAAGAAAGAGAGAGAGGAAAAAAACAGGGATCAAAAAAAAAAAGAATAATTGCAGCAGAATTCATTTTCCATAGCATATTTCAACATGTAATCTCCACCCTGAGTGACCAGGGTTTGCTCCCACGAATGAAACACTTCCCACATGCTCTTTTAGGCTGACCTGTAACCAGTTCTGTATGTTCTCAGTGTGCTGGATTCTGTAAATTGGAATAGGTTTTTTTCCTTATGAAAATTTTCTAGAGAAAACACAAATTTGCTCAAGGGCTTTAGTTACATCTACGGGTGTTTTTCCTTTACAAACAAGTGTTTTGCCTGTATGCCAACCTCCACGTGAAATAATTTGATTTCTGTAGCTTTACAATCCAAGTATAGCTTATTTCAAACATGCACACTTTGTGGCAGAGCCTGAAAATAAATCCTGTGATGGTCAGAAGATGGAGAGGGCTGACCCTGGCTGCAGCACTGTTCTGCTGGATGTTTCTCCCTCATCTTCTGCTGAGCTACTAATAAAAACAAGCAGTGCTAGTAGCTGCATTTGTCTAAGGCAATCAGGTATGTTAATCAAAGCTTACCCTCCCTGGTGAGCTGTAGGAACATTCCATCCAGTTTACAGATGGAGAATCTGAGACACATGTTACATAGATGTCCTCAAGCTCACGGTCCTTGCATAATAAAGCTTATTTTTCAATTGTGACCACAACATTTCTACCCTCCTTCTGAGGATCTTTTACACCAGAGAGATATAAAAGGCCTGAGATTACCATTTAGCTTTTGTAAAGTCAGGTGAAAATGAACACAAAGCTGAGGCTTTCCTTGGCTAATTACTGGCTGAGGCACTGAGAGCCACTCGGATGAGACAGCTGAGCATCTTCTGCACAGTGCAATAATTCATGAAACTGGTACCATGCAAGGAGCACATTTCTTGAAAGATTTAGTAGGCAAAGGCTAAACTGTGTGGTTCTTTTACAAAGCACATGGAGGGCACAGGAGAACAGCAATGGCTGTACTAGGAGGTTGTGTGGGTTACCTTTACTTGCAGCTTTTGCTCCATTTTGGCTTTTACCACGAAGTGTAAAGGCTTTTTCTTCAATACCTTCACAACTCTGTACACTAAGAATTCAATTCAATGACTGAATTACTGAATGAGAGTTCCATTAAAAAGCATAAAAAATCCTTGTATTCGCCATGAGCTGACTGTTAATTAATTGCTGGCTTGGAGACTGTGCAATTAGGCAGAAGTGGAGAGATGTCCCCACATGTTTCCTCCCTGGCCACACCTGCCCGTGGGCAGCACTGGGAGGGCAATGTGTGCTGCTGTTTGTCTTCTCCAAGGAAATGCACTGAGTGATGCTGAGGAGCAGGAAATCCTGGGTGCAGCCTGAGATGACACAGCTCAGTGGGGAAATAGGAGAAATGTGTTTCTTTACAGCATTTTGCCTAAAAAGTACAGCTGACACCCCAAAGCTCATTGGCTGTACAGGCCATGCAGGGACTGTGCAGCTCTGACATTTCACTGTGGTAAATTAGTGCTGTGCTGTGGTAGCCTTCACTTACAGCTCTGCCCTTATTCCTAAGAAGCTTAAGCATGGTTGTGGATGTGAAGTGCAGCCCATGATGCCTCATTTCTACCTCAGCACAACACAAACCAGGGCAGGAGCCTCTGGTGTTTGGCTGCTGAGAGAAACCTTTGCCTGAGGAGGAGCCAATGTTCAGCTTGGGTTGTGTGAGGGGCTGGGACCACTGGGGAGAGGAGGAGAAGCTGGGAAGGACATGGGAGCACTTGGCAGATCTTAAAGCCACATTTTCTTTCAAAAAAAGGTGTGCAGTACTCTGGTAGCAGGTACAGGGTCTGTGGGAGGCAGACAAAGTGAACAGACCCAACCTTCTCCCACTCCCTGCTCACATCTCTCTGCCCTCACTGGGAGCAGGAGAGGAGTTTTCCTCTAGGGAACATGTAGTAACACTCTTCCTCCTGCAATTACTGACCCTTTTGCCAGGTCTGCCAAATGGATTCGGGGCAAGGTGATGAAGAGCAAACAACAGAGACTCAGCAAACTCATCTTACACAGGGACTAACTAATAGCACAGACAGGAACAACTGCAAACTGGCCTGGACTTAAAAGTGTGGTAAAAAAGGAAAAAAATCTTTGATATTTACCCAGTCATTTGGTCAACACTGTGTTCAATTGCTAATATATATTATACACAGAGAATATTTATACATTTGCAAAGACTTAGCTAGGAAAAGTAAAAAAATTCAAGATCCTCAGATTGGATGTTGGAACTGAATTAGGCTTTTACAGATGTATTTGTTATGCTACAGAATTTCATTCTACAGGAATGAACTCTTCCTCCCCCACCTTACTCAGTGAAGAGGATGCACACTGCTCATTTAGGGACTGGCTATTCAGTATTTTATTTTCTTGTCACTGTTTACTCTGAACTTTTCTGACATATTTATTGTACACTATTCAAACCTTGTTCTGAAGGCAGAATGGCTTTTCAATAGCACATGTCAGTATATAGCACTTGAATGCTTCACAAATACCAACTGTGTTATTTTCCTAATATTCTTGTGAGGGAAGGCAGCAAAGTTACCTCCATTTTAGAGACAGAGAATTGAGGCACATGAAACACACGGCCAAAGGTATCTACTAATTTCAGAAACACAATCTGAGGCATTCAGGACTTGCTTTTCCAGAAGGTTTGGCGTTTTACAACATTTCATATGATCTAATGCTAACTTCATTTGCAGCTGGGAGTGCTAAGTATTCCTCCAAGAGCCCCAAGTCAGGCACTCAGCAAGCAAGAGACACAAAATAAGAGTATAGAAATAAAAATGCTGGGTTGGAGCGACACCATCACCCAGAAGCTCAGTGGTATTGCCAGAGACACACCACACCTTCCATGATATCCTTCAATTGTCTTAATTACCAGCCCATCCCTCCTGCAATCCTTGCCCTCTCTACAATTCCAGTTTTCAAACGTTTCAACAAATTGCTGGTTCTCCAGGAAGGATATTTCACTGTGTGTGCTACATTCATCCTCAGATCAGATGTATTCTGAACAATGAACAACACCAGAGTCCTTCAAAAACAACTGAGTATCAACCAGAAAATTAAGACCCAAATCCCAGGACACACACATGTACCTCTGACTACAGCCTGGATTGGCATTTCCAAATATCATTCCTTACATTTTCTGTGTACAGGGCTGCAAATATCAATCCTAATAAATATTTTAACACCATTAACAATATCCTAAATTTTAAACCACAACCAAACTGGAAATTCCTTGCATGGCATTATTATACAGCCATCCACAGGTTAAACAACAGGCCTTTATTTTTGGCACTGATGGGGACACTGCAGTCACTTGAACTAAGGCAGTAAGGGATGGCATGAATAGGCTGTGATCCTTTTTCAACACCAGCATTACACAACGATCAGACATTTTCACAGATATTTGCTGACCACAGAGAAACAATCACATTTAAAGTCCCAGTTTAGGACAAAATGTTTTCTGGTGCACAGATTTCTCTGCTATTTCCGAGGCTGTGACCTCCATCCCTTTCAATCTCTCTTCCTCTTATTTGCCTGATAAGAATCAGGCTGATTTTGCTCACATCAACAATCCCAATCCTTGCTGTCCAGACCTCCCATCCCACAACTGGTTTTCATGACAAAAATGTCTCTTTGGTTAGCTGAACTCTCCAACCTCTGCCCCAGTCTCAGCTTTCTGCTTCCAAGCTTTTCATTCTTGCTCCTGCCAGTCCTAGATTTCTCTTGCCTGTTTCTGCCCATGTTCCATCCCCTGCTCATGTTCCTAATGCCTAGGTCCAAATTCAGTGTCAGGTCACCCTTCTTTGCCTCAACCCCTTGTCTTCCTCATCCCATATTTTGTTGTCCTTCTCCTCTTCCCACCCGTTCTTGATCTGTCCTCCTTTCTCCTACTGGCACTGCTTTCTATTCCTGCTACCTGCCCAGAGTGTGGGCACAGGCAGTGGTTCACCTCCTGGTCCAAAAATCAGGTACCTGCCTGGAAAAGGGTCAGGCTGAACAGACAGAACTGAGTGTGCCTGGGCCAAACAGGTGAGTTTCCACAGGACAGCAAAACCCCATCCCTGACATAAATGCTAGCCCTAAAATCGTACGTTTTCATTTGTTCTTTTAAATAATTTAATCCTTTCCCTAAAATATTCCAGTGGATAAGCACAAAACTTCCTGTCTCCAAGAGCAAGCTGGCAGGACAACAATATTTGAAGGCAAAATGGTCAGGTAAAAGTAAATATGCAAGTAAAAATAGGAACCTACAATCACCCTCTTTGTGATAACTTCTTAAAGAAGAAAGAAAGGTAAAGTTTGTCAGTGTAAAAAACTAGGGAATGCTGGAGTCAACATCCTTTGTGCAAAGTTCATTGTGTATCTGCATTCTTACAGTGTGTTTAATTACAAGATCACCCACGATTTTCACCCACGGAGGCTGTCAGAAAGGTTTAAACTCAGGATCTTCAGAATCAGATTCTAAGTTTCATTCACTTGATGAAGAAATAACTGGCTATGAAAGAAAGCTCTTATGGACCAAGGCCCAGCTAGGGAAGGGGCATGGTGTGAGAGCTGGTGCTGTGTTTCGGGCAGGCCGGAAGGCTTTGCAAGATAGGAACAATTACACCAAACCCAGCTAAGCACACAGCTCTAGGGCATGCATTACCAAAGGAAAACAGTTTAGACAAAACTTATTACATACTTTGCCTCTGCTCCTCCCTCTGCCTGGAGAAAACTTCTAATTACTTTATTTGTTCTCAATGGGGGGGAAAAAAAAAAGTAGAAGTGGAAGACAAGAACATGCAAAAGGACAGCCCAGAAGGGACACGGAGCAATCAGTGAGTCAGGTCCCAGCACAGTGGGGATGGTTTTCTGACACTGGGATGTAAAGATCCATGTGATGG